AAATGATACCAAATGGATTGATTGTAGGATACATAATAAGTAAGATAAGCATGCGACGGTAACCAACATATAGGTGGTTTAAATTAACGTTGTTGTAATATTATATTAATGTAAAATGCCATAAATATAAATATGAGTATAAGAAAGCAAAGTTTGCTTATATTATTAAGCATATGTGTATGCATCATCCAAGCTAATAACTTTTAGACCAACAGTTAATGATTCCAATATAATGAGGTAAATATGATTTTTTTATGATTTACAGTACGTAGTTACATGTCCCCATTTAGTTGGACAATAACAAAGGATAAAACATATCTAAAGTTTTACATTTTGTATGGATTAAATGAGAAGTGATTTTTGAATAGATAAAAAACTTTTGTAAAATATATTAAACTCTTGATCCTGCTTTTGTGTCATTCAATAAGTACATGAGTGTAAATAAGTAGAAAATGATGTTTCTAATCTATAGAAGGAATAATGGAAAGAAGTGACCAAGTCCATTTCGGAAAATTTTACAGCAGAGCATTTTAATATCTCGGCCGAGCTTGTTATTTCCTCTTTGTTGGTTTTTTTTTTATAAATTTTGTTTCTCCGGAATGAGGTTGTTATTTCCCAAACTAACATATGCTACACATTCTCCTACAGGATTACCAACATAAAATTAAATAAAATCAAAATCTAAAAAATGGACTTGGCCAATTCTTTCCGTCAGCCCTTTATATATATTTATATACGAATCCTCTTAGTGAAATTCAACTAAAAACTCAATTTTTATTTAAGCTTATAATACACCCATACGCACGCTTCAAAGTCTTAAAGTAATGTTAAATAATAATGCATGTATATCCATTTATAAAATTAACATTCCCAATTCAATTAACTATAAATTAGTAAAACATGTTTATAAATGAGTTTTGAAGTATAAGAGGATTTTTTGAATAAATCATTACACCACTATACTCATAGGTAACGATAGCCAAGCATGGTCTTTTAAGCCAAACCTTTTTAGTAGGTTGTTAATTTGGACCAGTAGCATTTACACTTGTGCAGAGTCCATTTAATCCGACGGATCAAACACTAGTCACTCACAACTTTCTATTTGCAAAGGTTAAACTGGAAGATTGAAATACCTTGCATTTCTCACATGAAAATCGTTATAGTTGGTTTGAATTTTTAACATGACAGCAAGCAAGTTAGTAAATTAAGTTACCTACACCCTTAAGTCACATCTCATCTATACATGGGGAACATACCTAAGTAGTGTGTTTTTTGTTTAAAATCTCCTTGGTATTTTACACATGTTCATCGAACTACATTGCTTAAAAAATTCAATAATTGAATTCCCTGAACAGATCGGGTAACGTGGATGTTTTCTTTTCTTTACATCCAGGCTGCGGATTTTATTGCCTGGCTCCGCTTTTCTCTCTAAAGCTTTTACGATCAGTAACTCAGAGGATACAAATGAAAATTTGAAAAAATCTATTTTACAGTCGATCTACAATGCAAAGCAGTTTACTAACACTGCATGGAAAATATAATGTGGTGTATTTTTCAATACCATATTCTAAATTCTCTTGCACATTATTCTTTTTCCTCATAACAATAAATGAAATACTACGTCAAAACATTTGTTTAAAAAAGATACAGAATTAAAGAATGGTTTTTACATTTATGTGGTTTTGCCAACAAAATAATTGGATTTTCCTTCATTTACTAATTTAACGTCACAATTTCTTCAAACTTAAGTTTCCCCACGATTACTACATTTAAAACTTTCAATAAAGTTTAGTATTCCATTCATGTACCTGGGAGAGCTTCAATTTTGTGAAAGGAATCGTAGTAAGCTGTCAAGGCTGTTTTATTTGGCAAAATTACATATTAGAAGGTAATCACAAATAACTACACAACCAATCATAAGAAATAATGCAGTGTATTTATTTTAAAGATCCAAGAATACAGGTGATTATAGAAAGATACAGACAGATTGTTTGACTGTTAATCACGTGTTAATAGATTTTCGGTCATATTTTTTAACTACTGCTATCCAACCTTTCTAATTATGGGCCGAAAATGCGTTTTTAACACTGAATTAAGATACAAAACCCGAAATAAGCTACACACCTGTTACTCTCTGACATTTCAATTATGATTTCATAACCTGATGTTATTGGCGTTGATATGTTGATATCTTGAGTTAATAGAGCTATAACCATGAAACGGCAATTTAAATATTTAATAATATTGCTGTAGTAATAAGAATAACAATACACATTTAGTTTTTTGTATGCAAAACCATTATATAAAATATTTATACATAATCCCCCATCAACTAACTATATTGTTGGAAGGAAACTTGTGTAAAAGAAAGATACGATAAATTAATACGACGAATTGTATAAGTTGTAAAATAAAGTTATATTTTAATAGCATAACAACAAATGCCGACATTTTATCCGTTTATATGCCAATTAAGGTTAAATAAAAAGTTACAATAACTATTTTCAACAAAACCAAAAGCCAATTATGCGACTTATTCACGAATTTCAAACACATAACGTTTACCTCATTGCCATGAATGGAGTAACTGAATAGCTTAATCTCTTGAGTTTAATGAATGTATTTAATAGAATCATGTTATTTAAAATTTTCAGTTTTACCTAAAGGATCTCTAACAACTTTTAAAGCCAAAATATAAAAACAAATACACTGTTAGGTGACGTAAAATAAATTGAGTTTTTTAATTATATATATATTTATATATCTTTTTAAACTTTTGTTTAAACGTTTTACTGGCATAAAAATTATTTTTTGAAGTAGCGTTCTAACCCTGGTATTGTTACGAACGTTAAGCTATAGCTACAAGTTCTGTAGGGGCTTTAACTTATAAGTATGTGCTCGTATAACATTTAGAATCGTAAAAGTCTCCGTTATAAATCGTACAACTATGTCCATTACAAACGCAAATTTGTTTTTACCACAGACAAGCATTTTTGAGAGATAGCTATGATTTATGGATATTTTCAGAGAGACTTGTAATGCAAGACTTTTTACATGAGAATTCCTTAAAATCTAAATTATGATAAAATGTACACTATGAACTGAAAACCCTACAGCTAGATTAATACGCTAGATATTTATAATTATAAAGCTACCTTGTGATACCTTGTTAATGGAATTTAATAAAGTAAAGAGTTTACAAACTGGATTCAAGCAAAAATATCCCCTTAATTCTGAATACATTACTTTGCTTAGTCACGATGCGACAGAAACTCAAGTGTCAACCGTGAAGCAAGAGTGACAGGCATAAGACTTCACTGACGTACTCTGAATGAAAATTGAAGCTACAATATCTCGTTATTATATATTTTGAATATAAGACGGTTATATGCAAATCTAATGTCATTTTCAACCACACCTTTTAACACATAGTTATTGATCATATAATTCACAATCGTTCCCCTTTTAAGTATTGACATTTTATTTGCTATGATGTTCCGCTTATTCAGTTATAGGCTACATTTATAGAGCATGATAATTCAAACCCTTTTCTTTACTTGAAAGATTTTACAGAATGATTTGTGACGTCAACAAGGCCACTTTGTCATTGCTGAGTTGGTTAATGACGTGAGACTACAAGACTAATGACACTCTCATCAAGTAAACGTGGCCTCAAATACAAAACATCCTTGGTAGAACATAATCTTTTATTTTGATTATATTATATGTATTTTATTTTAGCACTCCGTTGTCAGTGAGGGCTGTGATTATTTCTTTTGTAACAAAATTTCACTTCCCTATTAGGTAAAGAAGGTAAAACAAAATTGTGAAACATGTAGGACTAGTTTATACTGTAACTATTATTTCAAACCGTGTATTATAAGTTTAATGAACAGTACTTCGACTGGTCATCTGGTAATTGTATAATTGTTGGTCAAATAACCAATCATGAATACAACATATTAATATTTTTCTCAAAATGTAAAAAGTTATAATCAAGATTGTGTATAAATTACAACGATAACAGGCCTAAGCTGTTAGAACTTTTAGAGAGCTCAAACTAAAGTCTAGACGTATTGCAACTTAATTTTTATTCACCAGAACTCATGAATAATAATCTTAAAAATAAAAAAAAAAAAAAATAATATGTTTTTAATAATGTGCGGAAATAACAGAAGCCCTCTTGCTGAGGTATGTTTCGAGTCGTTTAAGATAAATTATTATGAATATGTATATAGTGATAAACTAAAGTACTAGTTAAGACGCTTATAACAAAGAACTGTCTGTCATGATTAATAAATCACTGCTTCATTGAATACTGATACAAAAGGCATGTAATATTCAACACTTGTTGTTTATGTAGATATTTCCTCGGCGATATGACTAATATTTCCTCCAACGCATCATAAATATTTTATGGTTCGTAAATCTGCATCAACACCAGCTTGACGACAGGACCACGTGGATCTATTGCTATTAAAACTTAATATTTACGAATAGTTGTGTTATTATCATTGCAATAGACCAGCCTGTGCAACGTTGCCAAACAAATGCCGCATTCATGTACAGTACAAGATGAGGCCAGGGTTTTGGTAACCAGTTTACTTCAATTGTATTTCAATTGTAATTTATTTGAATTGAAAATAACGCTTTAAATTATCCTAAACATTAAAAAAAATACATTATAGCATTGCAATTTAGTTTGGGCAATTATGCATTGAATCAGGCATGAGCATTGTGTCATGATAAAAAGTAGATTAACAAGACGTTTAGTTATCTATTTCACAGTAGAAGACATGTGCGTTCGTTATTTACATAATATTTTGTTAAAAAGGTTTAACGACAACTGAAGCTTATTCTCTGAGATATGTTACATTAATTTTGTGGTGTGGTTGGAAGGTAATTTTCCACCAAATGGTGAGACATAGTTACAATTTATCACAGATAATGAGCCATAAAGTGGTACAAACTATGCGCTTAGGATTGTGTTGCTTGAATTATTAATCTGCTTTGGCAATAGACGGTGTGTATATCGGTGATAACAATGCATTCAGCAGGCTGTCCTGTTCAAGCGCTGATATCACCACTGCTGTCTTAGGACGTGGCTTTAATGCGGTATTCAGGTTCAGATTAGGTTATTTTCTCCACACTTGATATCACCCTTTATGACAAAAACATTATAGTAAATTGTTTATAACCAATCAATGTATAACTCATAGTACATATAACTGCGAGAAATATATGAACAGTTTATTATTATTTAGTTAAAATCTTATAAAAGTTTTATACAGTATATTGATTCAGCATAGGAAGAATCTTTATGATTGGATTGTATACTATTTTTGTAATATAAAAATTCTTTTGATGGAAAACCATGCAAAGATTGACAAGAGATGCAAACCATGCAAAGAAGACCAATGCAACGTGTACAGTCGGGGTGATAAAAATATTATGTTAGTTGAATTTTATTTTATTCAATTGCAGATTGGACCCTTACATACTGTAAAATTTTACAAATATACCGAAATAAGATATGGAATTAATTTAAGCTACGCCTTCAAGAAAAGAAGATTTGTCTCGAAACTTTTGGTTCAGAACTACCAAGAAAAAAATTCTGATTTTATCAGTATTAGATTGCATCGGTGAAAATATATTTTTTGTACTAAATAAACATTATTTATGTGAACCAACAAATAGTAATTAATTCCCATCCCTCTCATCAAAACTGCTGACAGAATGAGCCATTGCACATTCAATCACACAACAACAATTATACAGGGCTTTGGTTGACAAATCGCAGCAATAAAGCCAAACCCGCGTTGCCGTGGACCAAGCCGTCGTTATACAATACTCTGCCGCAATATCCTGTTTATGGGAGTTGTTGTTTAGTTGTTGTTCAATATACATTAAAACTACATCATCAGCCATTGTTGTTGTAAAAACAGTCTACAGCTTATGTATGAAATTAATTGGCTGATTATCTCCTCAAGTCGTCCGTAAAAATAATTAGGACCTAATATTATCTTCAGTAAACTGTTCAAATCCATAAATGTTTAAATAAGTTACAGACAGATTTATTGAGGCACGAAAAATAATTTTTATGGAAGTTTTAATAGAAAGAATAAGTAAGTATCCTATTAAACAAATATCCATCTAGCCTGCTAGAATTCTTTTTACCTCAAATATTAAATGTTTTTGATTTGTACTAAGTTGATGTCTGTTTAAATGTCTTGTTAAAATTATTGTTTAAATGTTCAAAAGCTTTTAAAGAAATTAACCTTGGAAATTTGAAATAAAAAAAAAATTACGTTAGGTCTAATTTGTGAAATTGTGTAACGGTGAAAACAGTAAATATGTTGCAGTGAATCTTTGGGGAAAATGGATTTGGAAGTTTACTATTGCGTTTCTGGGTTTTGTCACTCAGGGCCCAGGATGAGTATTTTAACATGATACTCTGGAGTTTCGGCGGAGAACATTTACCATCCTGTGGCCTCCGTTTGGACTCTGACAAGCCCCTACTCCGTCCAGCTTCATCGCTCCTCCGGTGACCTGTAATTGAACCAGAACTATACGTCATACCGCAAGTGTTGATTATTTTGTGTATATATCGATATAGGTTTATTTATTTATTTGAAGAGAGACTTTATCTAATGTTATTTATTTTTTAAGTACAGGACTCTAATTAATTGTTATATTTTTCAAATTTTAAATTCAATAGCCTATCTTTTAATTTTTTTATGGGGCCACTAAAAGGTTAATTTTCACCAAGGTTAAATTTGTTGTAAATTTTGGTAACATTTCATTTTATTTTTGAATGTTAAACTTTATTAAATTCTTTCATTGAATACATTTTTTAGAATTAAATAAATTACTGTAAGTTAGTAGGCTAGATGGGTAACTAAATAATTGAAGTTTTTTTAGCTTTACATCTATTGTTGTTAATGTTTTTGTTGTTGTTTAAATTGTTATTACAGCTCGTGTCTCTCAAATGGCACGTTGTTCTTGAACCTTCCTCCACAGGTTTTCCTGTCTTTTGGTAGATTTTGTGAGCCGCTCCTCGTCCCTGCACATGGACTCACGCTTCTAAGTCGTTTGCCTGGGTGCAGGTGCGAGGTCGTCGTTCAACAGGATGACGAGGCTTCTTATTTTGATACGTATTTTATTATCATCTATACTATTATAAAATTGAGGTGGTGTCTGTCTGTCTGTCTGGGCAGTTTTAACGACTAAAATTCTAAACCGATGCAGCCAAAATAAAGCATACAGATGGTCCACATATTTAGGAATACCGTAGGCCTATTCACTTCCCTGAGTTTCTCTCTTGCTACGCCCCTTTGACGTCAAAAGTTTTGAGGTTACGTTTTTAAAAGTAAATGTTTAATAAATGGTCTCCATGGAAGCATAAGAAAATTCATAATGGTTACCTTTGCGTTGATATTTCAATCTAAACACTCATAATTACCAAATGCTTATTCCACAATTTTAGACAGCCGATTCAAACAAATTGAGTAAAATATTTCATACAAACATGTAGTAGGTTTATTTATTATAAACTTAAGTAAGTGATTATGGAAATAAAAAGACTCTATAAAGATTGCTGTATCAATCCAGGCTCTGCTTTCGATTAATTAAAGTTTTAAAGTTTTACAAAATAATGCCGTTGATATATTTTCATTTATACAGAAGGAGAATTACAATGTAGGTTTATACTTTTTTGTGTGAATTTCGGGGCTTTTTGATTATAAATTCTAACTACTTAACAAGTAGTATTAGGTGGTATAGTACATCTTCCCGTTGTGAAGCACAGGTACAGCGGCTATTTCTAATATAACATTTAACATTAGAATTATCCACTTCAGTCGATAAAACCAATGTTCTAGCCATAGGAAAGATCCCTGTAGAATGAATGTGGGTATTTGAGATAACATGATGACAATGGTCCCTGCTCAGTGGCTTGCATATACTAATTAGATCTGGGAGTATGCAGTCTTTGGAGATTAACCTGGTGAATGATGATTGCATTATGTTATAGCTAAAACTAAATTCTCATTGCTTATCTTATCTTATCTTATCTAACAGGGGCAGGTCGAGACCTTAAAGCACTTCATCCGAAATCGAATTATTGCGCACCCCAGATACTTAATTGCTTTCTTGTTGACCTACAAGTTGAGGCGCCCAATGAATGCCTGTAGCTTCCCAATTAGTTCATCCTCAGGAAGAAATCTACCTCTACCCATATTTCCAAGAGTTATCGATCTAGCGTCAGAGAGCTCATTACAATCAAAGAGTAAGTGATCAGCTGTCTCTTCTGACCTATCACAGTACCTACAGATCGGTTCACCATCATATAAGCCCATCCGTTGTAGATGTTTCCTGAATCTTCCATGACCAGTTATCAGTTCAACAATTAATTTAATTCTACGTCTGTCTAGTCTCAAGAGGTCACAGGCAACCTTTTTGGAAGGCCTAAACAGAGTAAGCTTGCTGACCCTAAGAAGGGGAAAATCGATCCAGCGTTTGCGATGCTTTTCCTTGGCCCATGACGCAATCGCAGAACATACACTGTTTCGTGAGATGCCACAGAAGGGTTGCGGGCCTAACAATGTTGTCGCAGAGGCAGTGTTTGCCAATCTGTCTGCAGCTTCATTTCCCTTAATGCCTGAGTGTCCTGGTACCCAGCAAAGCGTAAGGTCATTTCTCCTACCCAACTCAGACACAGAAGCAAGACAATCCCACACGAGCCTGGAGTTGAATTCGTAAGAGTTTAATGCTTTTAAGGTCGCTTGACTATCAGTAAAGATATTAATTGTTTTGTCTCTGATATCTTTGTTAAGATGTTCTTGAGCACAAACTAGAATGGCAGTGACCTCCGCTTGAAAGACAGTTGGGTACACCCCCATTGGAAGACAAATACCAGTGCCTCCATTCATCCAATGCCCACCTGCTCCAGTGCCCCCATTCTTGATCTTAGAACCATCAGTATAGCATTCTAAGTCACCTGTGGGTATGGGTCCTTTTCCGCCAGACCAATCCTTCCTATCTGGTATTAGTACTTTGAAAGGCTTTCCAAAGGAGTATTTTTTGGACATGTGATCTGAAGGTAAGTCCAATTCATCATTATGTACCACCTGAACAATTTTAGAGTGCCCTTTATTGTTCCCTGAGGCTATCCATAAGTTTTCGCAGAGGGTCCTTATAAGGTCGTCTGCTACCAAATTCCAAAGTAGAGGAGAAAGAACCCCCCCCTGAGGACATCCTCGAGTAGTTCTTGCCTCGATCGTATCATTGTGGAGTGAGAGCCTAACCTTCCTACTGAGAAGCAAGGATTCAATCCATCTACATATTATACCGTGAAAACCTCTTGCTCTCACCGCATTAAGAATCGCTGGAGTACCAGTATTGTCAAAAGCACCTTGAATATCGAGAAAGGCACCCAGGGCCACTTCACTGCTCTCTAGAGCTTTCTCAATCTTGCTTACAAGTTGGTGCAACGCAGTCTCGCATGATCTTCCTGAGACATACGCATGCTGATTAATATGTAAAGGATGTGTCCTAAGAGCTGTATCCATCATATATCTTGAGACCAACTTTTCTAGGATCTTAAGAAAGAAAGAAGATAGAGAAATGGGTCTGAATGACTTAGGGTCAGTGTAACTATCCCTTCCTGGTTTAGGAATAAATGCGATACGCGAATTACACCACCCTAAGGGAATATGTCCTAAGGCTAAGCTGGCTCTGAAAAGTTTACAGAGTGGGTGTATAATTGTATCAAGACCCTCCTGCAAACAAACAGGTCTTACCTCATCAGGACCCGGCGATTTGAAGGGTCGTAATAAGCCAACAGCCCATCTTACCTTGCTGAAGGTGACTATGCGGCAAGCAGTGCTCCACATAGAATGAGTGGCACGACGGCCCAGGTTAGGCCGCTCTGGACTCACCTCCTCCTGCTGCACTTCAGAAACAATACAACCAGGGAAATGAGTTTTTACCACAACCTTTAGTATTTCGGTAGGTTCAAAAGCCATTACACCATCCGGTCCCTCAACGGCACCCAAAGTAACATGCCTGTCTCTAACAAGTACCTTATGTATTCTAGAAGTATCCTTGATACTCTCTAAATTTCCACAAAAATTTTTCCATGAAAGCCTTTTGGCCTTACGTACTGCATGGTTATATTCTGTGAGAGTTGTATGGTATATATCCCAATTATTGGTTATCTTTGCTCGCCTAAATTGGGCCCTTACTCTCTTCCTAAGAGAGGCAAGTTCAGGACCCCACCAACTAGCCCTGTTGCTCTTTCCCTTGCTCAAAGGACAATTATCCTCAAAGGATGTAACTATGCACCTAGTTAGACGATCTGCCGCCTCGTCAAGCGCATCAACTGTGTTTATAGGAGATGTGTTAAGGTTCGAGGCAATTCTGCCCCGAAGATCCGCTCTGAAGGATGCCCAGTCGGTTTTAACTGGGCTCCTGAATAAGCGAACCTCGCCGCAGAAATTCCCCAACCCGAAGACAATGTGCCTATGATCAGACAGGGATGGCTCAAGGGACACTGACCAGTCAATAATCCTGTCAGCCATACCCGCCAAACACAGGGTAAGATCAATTACTGATTGGCCTATCCTGCTTAAAAAAGTTGGTTCTGAGCCTACATTTGCAACAAGTAGGCCGCAGGAAGCTATGTATTCTAGAAGTGACCTACCTCGGTTGTTAGTGTCCCTGCATCCCCAGGCCGTATTATGGGCATTGGAGTCGCAGCCTATCACGAGTTCGGATCCAGACTCGTGTGCGAGGTCGACCAATCTTCTGACCTCGGCCGATGGGAACAGTCCATCGTCGCCCTGTGGCATGTAAACAGAGGCCAGCAGCAGTTTTATGTTGGATTTAGTACATACAGTCTTAATTACTGTTACGTCCCTCGAACAAAGCTCTAGAACTGGATTACATTTTAGCCCCTCTTTAACCCAAATGCAAGTTCTAGGGTGTGGTACAGATGCAGAGAAGATACTACCCTTTATAGTTCCCATCCCCGCAATTCTAAAATTATTGATCCAGGGTTCCTGAATCAAGGCATAATCTAAGGACTGCTTAACCGTGCTCAGACAGAACACAGCCGTGGCAGCCTTACTGTGTTGTAGGTTCGCTTGAAGGACCTGAGTCATCAGAGGGAGCACCAGAGATAACTCTGAGCTGTATTTTCCCCAGACCCAGATAGATAATCCAGCCACGATCTTTCAGAACCTGCGCATTCATTTCATCAATAGCAAGAACAAGAATCTGATGATCATCCTTCCTCTTCCCACCAATGACGCGCCAGTCCTTTGTCGTGACACCAGGATTTTGCCGCTCAATCTGAACAAACACTTTAGAGGCTTCGACCTTGGCCAAGCGCCTGTCAGTGCGTAGGAGCACTTTGGTCGTGCGCAACAGATCCTTTTAGTCTGCTACAATGACCTCCATACTCCCCTCACTTCCCAGCGCCAGCTTCGGTGCCACCCTCTTTAGCCAGTCAGTTGTTTCAGAATTACCACAAGTTACGACAAGAGCACCCTTCTCATGGTAAATTTTTTCAAACTGATGAGGAATGTTGGCGCCGTCATCACCAAACACCAACTCCATCAGTTTGTCCTGCAACAAATCACATTCCTCAACAGAGAATCTCGCATCGGGATAGGCCGCTGGAGCTACTGCCAACTTGTGACCCACAAGCTGATCTCTGTAGCTGGCCTTTCCTGCAACGAGTCCATCTGCTGATTGATTAGAGTTTTTATTTCTCTTAGGAGGAGGATTTTGAGACGACCCAGGGTTACTGTCGGATCCGGTTCTACGCATCGGTGATACGCCTGAACCTTCCCCAGGAGAACTCAAGGACTCTCGCTTCCTCTTTCTCCACTGTCTGTTAGGGATCCACGTGCCCTCAGCCTTTTTCCTTTCTCTAACAGACATATTGTACTCAGTTTTGGTCATAACTGTAAAAGTGATCTCAGAGTCGGACGAAACATCCGCCAGAGATGGAGAGTCGCCAGCACTGCTGGTGTTTAGTGGCTTGTTCAGGTCCGCATCTAACCTGTGGCAAAGCTCAAGCACATCAGTTGATGAATTGGGTGGAGTTCTTGCTGTTAGGGAACTTCTCGAGAAGACCTCTGGCGTGTCCAAGATCTCCCCAGGTTCCGTCTCCATAGCGGTGTTCTGCACAGTAACATTATCATTGTTAAAGGAAAGCTGATCGTTGCCCTCCCCAGAATCCATGGGCTTGTCCTCCAAAAAGGAGGAGTGGGATTCCCCGCTTGAGCAGGTACCCACCTGGGGTAATGATTCCGTTCGTTTACTTTCAGCCATTACTAAAACAAGAAAAGCAAAAAAGTTAGCAGTTTAGCAGCCGAACCGTGACCCACTCACTACGCCTGCTAATATCCAAGACTGGACCCTTTCGGGGTAGGACCCCTCATCGTCTCCAGCTCAGTCCTGTCACAGCTGCACACATACCTGTAACAGTTGGCGGTAACATTAGCTATCTGGGCCTTGGCCGGATTGGTGATTGTCACCTCCGCCCAAGGCCAGTACTAGAGCAGCCGCTCCCTACCCTAGGGCTGTCTAGTCACGACACAGCCAGCGCTAGATCCGCTGCCTTCAGCGAGTGCAGAGGCACCCCTTGCAGGCTGTGCATAGCACAGTATGACTTTGCTAAACAAAGTCGACTCACAGCGGTCTTGGAGGAGGAGCTGTCATAGACAGCTCCCCCTCCCTGAGGAGCTTACGCTTACCTCTCGCCCCCTTCTCATTGCTTTTAAACAGATTGTATTCATTTTTAATGATTTATGTTTTACAAGTCTCTTAATTGGTCTGACAAAACCTATCATGTTTAAATACCCCACCTCAGAAAACCGGAAAACTATGGGAGTTTTCATTTACCTGGTTAAATTTGCACTAAGATATTCTTTTGAAATTGATAGCTTTGAAACAAATAAATAACATTAATTTTAATAAGCACTTAGGTTTGTTGCTACAGTGAAGGTAATAACGTGTTTTTGATGATAATAGCTTACTAAGAAATATAAAATAATAAATTCATTAAAAATATATCCTTAAAAAGTAAACTACAATATTAAATTTGTTCTACAAAAGAAGATCATGGACATTTTAGTATTAGTTTTAAAACAGGCTTTTACGTCGATGCAGTAATGTGGGGGCACCGTCCTTCAGAATATCCTTTGAAACCAGATATTCTGAAAATTGTCTACAAACATGTTTTAGAGTAGCGGTGTGATTCCATTTACCAGAAAACGCTGGTACGATATTGTATTTAAATTTACTTAAATAAAGAAAGGACATACCAACTGGGTACCTATCACACCAAGTCAAACCTTCAACTTTATTGGATATTACGAGTTTGACTCCCAGTGTGGATTTTCACTACTCTAGTAACAACAATTAATTGTGCCTGTGTATTTCATTCAGCATAAATGTACGCTTGCCTGAAAACACAATGATGTCTCCATCAATTTCGTTGCAATCGATTTTGGCCATCATAGTTTTTGGCAAAAATTATATACGTCGATCGAAATCATATTCGTTGACTTAGTGCACCTAATTGACTTTATAAGGCTTAAAATTATACCCTTTCATATGTTTTAACGGCTTAACAGAGATGTCACGAGTTTGTTCTGATGAGTGTAGGGACTCGTGTGGGTTCTCAATAAATGATTGCAAGCTGTCTAATAATTAAGAGTTGTCTAGATTGTCGCAATATTGGGCCTTACTAACCTACGTCGATCGGAAACACTTCCTGTTTCCATAAAGCATTGATAAGTTCTCCCTACTACTGTTTTAATGTTTGAACAAGTAATTAGTGGTTCTAGAAATGATCTAGCTCTCGGTAAAGTAGCCTTTAAATAAATTTCACACGTCCTTGTGTGATCGTCTGTTATTTGTTTATTATCATAAGCATTAATTGTTACACATTTACATTCGTAAAGTGACATAGTGTTGTTGAACTGCAAGCAACACGTAAAACTATTTTGCACACACACGCACTAACAGAAATGTTGGACAGCACTGCTAAAACAAGAAATATTACATACATTTTGCGAATGCCTAATAAGAAATTCTAAACGGCGACCCAAACATAAGATATTTCTAATTGTTACTGTTACCGGGTTTTCACTGTTATCAATAAAATAGGACCAAATTTGTAGCCCTTGCGGATAACTAACGTCATAACTCACTTATTGACAGGAATAATACATTATAAGTTAACTCTATTTCTTATAATAAATAAGTTAGCTATTGGTTCACTTTAGGCGAGACGCCCTGAATATTTTTGTACCGTTATGAATACACTTATCAGTTTAAAGGTAACTACACACCTTGTTACACCTTGTTTTTTGGACTCTGGGGGCGTCAAAACGAAATAGTGTATTATTCGCTTGTCTAGACTTTATAATGACATGGTTAAAATGTAATTAAGTAAACCAGTTTTTTAGCCTTAAATAATGATTTCCAGCAATAATTTAGCCACACCGCAGATATATTATACGAGCGTGGTGCGGTGAGGGATTAAGCCAGGTGATGAATATGTATTGCCTTTCTCCGTGATCTTATATAAAATATACCTATCAATTGGGACGCCAACTGAATCAACCTTAATGTAGAATAGTATGGGGACTGTTGTATATAATAAAAAAAATATTAATTTCCATACTCGGCTATTTTTATTGTGAATATGCTAAACAATACAAAACTCACCAGTACTTGGGGTATTTTGATTAGTTTGTTTTATTAAAAACTATTATTTTTATTTTACATGATTAAGGTTAAGTTTTTGATCGCCCTTTATTTGTTGAAGAAGTTTTGTTGATCAAGCTTCATAAAAATTTTAAACTTTGGCATAGGTTATGTTTTTTAATGAGGTATGACTTATAATAGAGTTTGTTTTACAGTTTATAATATTTCGAGATAAAATAAATGTTATGTGACATTGGGGAACCTATATATATCTTAAAATTAAGTTTGGCCTACAGTTTAGTAAATGGGCTACATATTAAGTTTAAATTGTGGTTATTTCTGTTGAAATCCATTCCATAGGTTTTATATGACATTTATAACTGAAATATAAATTAACAATATTAATTGGGTCTTTCCCAATTCATGAGTATTATTTCTATTGCACCTTCACGACTGTATTTCTCTGTAAATTGTCAGTGTTATTAAGAAGAGAAACAATTAAACAGAAGTTGTTATTTGAAGACAATGGACGCATTTCCAGCAACATCTCTTTGCTTTTGAACTGTGCTTTCTGATTAATGCTTCAATGAACAGTAAAAGTGGAATGTGTGACATAGAAGGTAATTGTGTTAAGCTATCCCCGATTTAGAATAATGAATATGTTTGTGTTTAATTTACAATTTGAATACAAAGATCAAATTAGTGCATGTAATGTATTCGTATTATTAGTTGATAAGATATAAAGTGGTTTAAGGAATATAAATATTGTAACCCTTTAATTAGTTTTTAAGTCTTATTTTATTCAGTTTAAATTAATTTCATGACAGATACCGAGTAGTGGAAAGGACTGTTAGTTTTCTGTCCTTACACATTTTTACACAAAGACTCTCAATATTTTTTTTTTTTTTTAGGGAGAGGAGGGAAAATGCTTTTACGCACACAGGTAGCCAGCCTGTAGTGTGAGACTCCTGAAAATTGTCAGACTACTCACTAAAAAACCCCCTCTACTCTGTTGGACACAGACCTGGAATTGTTTGTCACATTACTTCAAGTCAGGCCAACATGTGACCTAAGCCCTCAGGGCTCGCACCGTTTCTGGCATTTCGATTCTTAATTACCTACAACCGCATCCCGGTCAAGGTCGATCTTCTTGGCGCGGAGAATACCCTGGATATAATGTGACACACAGGTCCAATTGTCCTCACCCTCCGTCATAATCGGTATGACCGTGTCCACCGACAGCAGTCCTATTAATTGTTGAGCCTCCAGGCGGGACCTTTCCCAGCGCTGGCAGTGGAAAAATGTATGTTCCACGTCATCGAGAATGCCTGGGCAGTATATGCAGTCGGGTGACACGGCTTTGCCCATCCTGAACAGGTACGACCGGAAAAAGCCGTGTCCCGTCAGAAATTGGGTGAGGTAGAAGTCCACCTCTCCGTACCGCCGATCAACCCAAGGTTGGACTTGCTGTATCAGTCGCCTGGTCCAGAGTCCCCGTGTCTCCTGTTCCCAGCCCTCCTGCCACAGCTGGTAGGTGCGGGTGCGTTCCTCTGTTCGTGCCTCGTCCTCCCCACGGCGCCGGTAAATTGCCTTTCTCTCCGCCGCCAAAAGTTTGACGGGGATGACTCCAGCAATCACCAGGACGGCGGGCTCGGACACTGTTCGGTAGGCAGATGCTA